AGGAGAGGTCTGCCACGCCATGTGGTCACCTCCGGGGCAGGCAGGAATCGAACTCATGCAGAAGTGGCTTTAGCTTCTCAGTGCTGTGTTTTAACCTGCTGTGCCACCAGGGAGGGCCCAATGTTAACATTTTTAAGAAGAAAAATCAGGACCTCCCTGTTGGCACAGGGGGTTAAGTCTCAGCTCTATGAAGCTATTGGCAGCTACTGCAGCAGGAGTTTGATCCCTGGCCAGGGAGCTGACCCACATGGCACAGCAGACCTCTCCTGTCTCCCCACTGTTCCCCTTAGCAGTGATTTCAGTCATTCTATCTGGTCTGCTCCCCACTCTGTCCTGGTGAATGCTCTCACCACTCCCTGCCAAGAATTGGGCCTGTATCCCAATTCTTATATGCATAAATAAAGAAATCTTATAAAGATTCTATTAGGAAAAAAAATAAAATGAAGAAAATTACTTGTTTCCAATGCTGGCCCTGAGTACAGTATGGGCAATGAAGGAAGACAGCTAGGAGAAAAAGAAAATGTCTTCTTTACCCAGGCTTATTCTTCAGCAGCAAAGTAACTACCTGTCTTTGACTTTGTGTCACTGGGGACTACCATCAGGTAGCCCTCTGGGTATTTTAGTACTAGGCCACCAGGGAGGCCCAGAATTAAGAAATATAAATGGTGATATTAATGAGTTAAATAAATAAGGGGAAACTGATAAATCTGATTTAAAAAAAAAATCAATGTAAAATCCTTAGCAAATTACCAGGTAAGTGGAAGTGAACAGACATACAAATAGGACTAAAAAGGGGGAATGACTGTATTAGAAATATACAGCAAAACTTCACATTAATATAATTTCAAAGCTGGCATGCTAGCAATGATTTTCTAGAAATGCTTGAGTATACAAAACTGCTATACATAGAAAATGAAAAGATTGGAAGTTGTTAAAGTTTGAAGTACTCATGTTCCTACATGCTCACTCCTGCCACCAGTTTCTCTCTTGATCAAGAGTCAGCAGGCTTATTGTGTGTCGTCAGTGATTTCTTATAGACCTTTGAAGTCACTTTCAAGTAACATGCCATTCAAGTAGTTAAAACTCTCCCCGGTGGCACAACGTGTTAAAGCACAGCACTGTGAAGCTACTGTAGTCACTGCAGCACAAGTTCAATTCCTGGCCAGGGAGGTGACCCACATGGTGCGACAGACCGCTCCTGACCCACCCGCTGCTCCCTCAGCAGTGTACTTCGTCAGTCTGCCAGTTCTGCTCCCCACTCTGTCTCTGGTGAATCCTCTTACCGCCCCCGCCACCACACATACCTGGACTGTACCCCAGTTCTATATGTATAAATAAATAAAACTTAAAAAAAAAACACTCAGGAACTTTATAAAAAAGAAATTGCTGCCACCTGTTTTTAACAGCATCATTGTTACAGTGACTGCAAAAGCTGGTCAGGTGGCATTGTGAAGGAAAATTGTAGGCCCACCTTGTGAATCTACAACACATGTATATGTAAAATCCTAAATGAAATGAACAATATTCAAGTAGTAATGTGTTCTGTTAGGAAATTCAGCCTAACGATGTCAGTTCATTGTTTAGGAATTTACTAGTGAATTTTTAAAAAGATTTATTTATTTATGCATATAGTACTGGGCTGCAGGCCAGAGGTGCAGGGGGTAGTGAGAAGATTCACCAGAAACAGAGTGGGGAGCAGAACAGGCAGACTGACAAAGTACACTGCTGAGGGGAGCAGCGGGGAGACAGGCAGCAGAGATCTGCGCCATGTGGGTCAGCTCCAGACCAGGCTCAACTCGCACTGAAGGTGCTTGCAGTGCTGCGCCCTAACTTGTTGTGCCACCCGGGAGGGCTGAAGGCAGCCAGTTTTATAGTAACTTAAATAAATGTATAAAATGCAGATAGGAAAACAATCATTTTTTAGTTTCAGTCATGAAGTTTCACTGGAAGAAAACATGCCATTTAGAACTGCAACCAAACTTACATGTGACTGTCTAGTAAGGGACTGGGGTAGCTGTATGAGGTTGAATATAAGCTACTTTTGAGATACAAATCTTGAATAAATGGCAAGGTGTTTTGTGTTGGAAGGCTCAATATTTTTCAAAATTGTCAATACTTTTGTGTATGAGTGGACAAAGTCAATGTCAAGCAAAACTGAAGAAGGGATTTTCTTTAAATCATAACTCGATGAAACCTTTGAGAAAAGCTGGGATGTTTCTAAAATGTAACTAAGAAGCAGCAACCTGTTAGACAAAGTTTCAAAACATACTTTGGGATATCAAGGAGGTGGCCAAGAGGGAGTCCTTTTGTGAAGGGAAAAGATAACCTACCTAGTTTTAAATGCTGCTACCAGAGGAATGTTTAACTTCTGAGTTGGATTTTTGGAACTGCTGATGAGGACACCCAATTTGTAACCGGTGGTGATACCGGACTGTTCAGGTGTTGCCCCTGGGAGGGCATGATGGTGAGGATGGAGAGTCCCAGGGAAAATACAGCGAAGTATCGCCCTAGGGCGATATATCAGGATTTTAGCAGCGTTTGGATCTTCAGCAGCTCCGGAGTCAGCAGTTTCTGCCCCCACCATGCAGATCATGGAGAGGATTGTGGGAGATCCTGACTTAGATCCCTTCAGTCAGTCAGCAGAGTTGAGAGATTCCTGGGCTCAGGTCTTTCCAGAAGTTCCTCCTGCCCATGCCCAGGGCAGAGCTCATCATTCAAGGGTGTCTCCTGAATATTCCTCTGCTGCAGGCTTCTTCCAGAGGCCCCAGTGAATGCCCAGGAGGGACTGTTAGATGATTCTCATGCGAGTCTGTATATTCTCAGGTGCCTGCAGCCTGGACGGAGTTGGGTTCGGTCCCACCACCTGGCTGGACAGCAGAACTCTCCCCAGGGCCTCAGGACTGTGGTTCCATCTAAAAGACACTTCTGGGGACAGTGAGAGCAGGTGAGTTACTGTGAAGGGGGAGCTAGAAGGGCCCAGAGGACCAAATAAAGACCCTCTGGTCCAGAAGGGAAAACTGAGATAAGAACTGCCCTCTAAAGGCTCACCAGCAGTTGTTTTCGGCATGGTGTGATGAGAAATATAGTCACTGAGCTGAGAAATCACACCTGAAGATACACAGTGTCGGTGACAGTGTGGAAGCCCGTGCTCAGCTGTTTCCATGGCATCGAGCATATGGAGTGCTGCGTTTCCTCGTGATCAGACCAGGCCTGCATGCTGCGTGGAATACCAGAAAGGTGCAGTCCTCTTATGGGTGTCATCCTCTGGGGCGTCCCAGGGGCAGGCGATGTCCTGCGGGTTCACTGAGTGCTTGCTTTTTTTTTTTTTTTAAAGATTTATTTATTCATACAGAACTGCGGTACAGGCCAGAGGTGTAGAGGGTGACAGGATTCACCAGAGACAGAGTGGAGAGCAAATCAGGTGGATCTACTAAAATCCACTGCTGAGAGGAGCAGCGGGGACAGGAGAGGTCTGCAGCGCCATGTGGGTCAGCTCCCTGGCTGGGGATCAACCTCATGCTGCAGTGGCTGCAGGAGCTTCATAGTGCTGCACTTTAACCTACTGTGCCACCAGGGAGGGCCCTGAGTGCTTGCTTTACTTGAGGTCTGCCAGTTTCTCCCAGGGTAAAGCTACTATCTGTCCTTTTGGAAAGAATGAGGATCTCCCAGGGATATTTAGATACTATGTATATACTTTGTTGCTCATCTAGCTTTCCCCAATGCTTGTTTTTATTAGTGTCCATTCACAGCTGCCATCTCATTTAAATGTGAAAGTAATTTCACACACCGCCTTCACCTAATTAGAGAGTTACAGGGCCAGAGTCAGAAGCAGGCCTCTGGACTTAGCCATTTGCCACTCTGCTGTTCAGCTAGGCCCCCACAGCCATGGCCCAGGCCAAGTCTGGGTATCCCAGTTCAGAAAGGTGAGGGAATGAGTATGGCGCTGTGAGCCAAAGGTGGATTAAGGCAGAGGCTGGTCAGGCCCAGGTCTTTCCCGCCAGCTCAACTCTTCCATCAGGCCTCTTGGCGTCCACCCCTGTATACAGCCCACAGGTTACTCTCCAGCTCCAGGATCTGGACCACACTGCAGAGCATTCTGAAACAGTTACGAGATAGTGGATATTTATTGCCCATTGAAAAAAGAAGTGAAACGTTACTTCACATGGCCACTGTGCCAGGAGTTTTCCCTAGGTGGACGCTCCATCTCCACCACCCAGCTCCTGACGGAGAGTATTTCCAGCACTTTAGAGTGACTCCCTTCAAAAGATGATTTGCCAGGAGATGAGTGAGAAAGGATTAATGTAAAACAAAGATGTGTATTTATTCTAAAACTACCTTCCCCCTTAAAACTTGTTTCCCCACTAATCACTAAACTTAGCTTCCCTTAAAAGGAAAAATTCATATGGAGAGGATCAGAAGGGCTTCTTTTATCATTTCTCCCTGTTACTGCGGCTGTGGCCATTGGCTCTCCAGACTCTTCTAGTTCAGCTTTGATTCCAGAATTTACCAACTTTTGAGAGTAGAGCAGTTATGCTCTCTTCAACAGGACGTATGCTAACACTGGAATGATTACAGAGACTGGGTTGGCTTCCGCCCAAGGAGGACATAAAGCATGTCAAGTGTAGCATACTTTTTAAAGCCTATTGACTTTTATGAATAAACACCTGAAATTTGTATGTTACAATGCAGTATTACTTCAATAAAAAAATTAAAAAGATGGACCTCCCTGGTGGCATAAAGGTAGAAACCTCAGTCCTGTCACCGCTGTGGACTCAGTTCCATCCCCGGCCAGGGAGCTGACCCCCAGGGCGCAGCAGACCTCTCCTGTCTCCCCGCTGCTCCCCTCGGCAGTGGATGTAAGTAGATCTGCCTGTCCTGCTCTTCGCCCTGTCCCTGGTGAATCTTCACCCCCCTCACCTCTGGCCTATACCCCAGCTCCTGTATGCATAAGTAAATATAAATAAATCTTCAAAACAATTACAAAAAAATCGGGCAGTCACTGATAGCTGCTCGAGGGTTATTCACGCTAATAAGGAACGGTCAGGGAGTTACGTGTCAGGCCTGCTCTGTGGAAAGTGCAGACAGTCAGTGGTGTGCTTGTGACTAGACCCAGTAGAGCTCTTCTCTGTCCCACAGGAATATGACACTTTCTTCTTTCTGTGGGGCAGAAAGAACTGGTGGCTATTGTAAACGCTGTCCTCCCTAGACTGTCAGGGACAAAGCCTGAATTCAGCTGCAGGCTTGACAAGTTTGAGTCGCCCATCGGGAGACAAGCACCTGTCACCCCGCAGTGGGGACATGTTTCCTGCCTGGGAGAAGCCGTTGCTTCTGGTGTCCTTGGGACTGCTCTTTTCTTGCCTTTTGCCTTTCATTTCTTTTTTGCTTTTGCCGAAATATGAAACACATAGACAGAATGTACAAATCGTAAGTGCACAACTTGTGAAATTTTTAAATATCTAGACTCTCGTGTAAACTCCAGCAAATCGGCATTTCCACCACCTGGGGCCAGTGCTGTGCTCCATGA